AGGTATTAAAAGGTTTATATACTAGCTTACTTCAGTATCCAATTGATTAATTTTAATATTTATCGATTTAATAGATTTACCAACTGAATAGAGAATAGACTCGTTACATACGCTCAGATTTGACATTATTTAGTTAATAGAACTGTATATTTTATAAGAAGGTAAACGAGCAAGTGACCACTTAAAACCTCCGTAATGGCGAAGCGACCGCTTCCCATGGATATCCACGATTGCAGATGCGTTGCCTACCCTTAATCCACGGAGGAGGAGACGCATATAAAGAGGATATTTCCTATTCCTATGCTTCTCCTCCACTTTTCCTGTTAAGAAATGGGTGTAATGGAATAAATTGGGGCCCCGGCACCACACTTATCGGATGAAACTATCGGATGTAATCGGATGATTCTGTGTTGTGGTATTCCACCTGGCGAGCTGGCGTATCTGTGCGAAGATGTTAAAGCGGATTCTACCACTGTTGAAGTTGTAACCGAACGTTCAGTTTAAACTGTCATTTAGAATTGAACGTTTAAACTGGCTTAAAAAGTACATAAAATTCATGGCCAATATGAATATCATAATTGACCTAATAGCATTGCGATATGACATAGGATGACACCTCATTGTTAAGCCCTTTAGGCTACAGGTCGCAATAAAAGCCACATTATTACAGTTAAAGAATTAATTTCCCTACCCACTTAGAATCAAAGATCAGCAACTAGTACAATGTGTGCTGTAATTACTATTTATCTAATTAATTACACCAAATGGGCAGGATATAAATGTCCGTGACTACATCGAATAATATTTTTAACAAACTTAAATTAAATTGATATACTTTTAACAGATATCGTAATAAGTCAGTGAATAATTCACGAAAACCTTGGAATTTCAAAACACCTTTTGTTTTGATCAATTTGCTTCTTATACAGGAAGCTCAAAAAATCTGTGTTCAATCCATTGTGTTGCCAGTACGTCACACAGCTCGTTGAACAGTTTTATAGCCACACCGACCTTCTGAAATGACTTAACGTTCTTATTATGACTCAAAAGAAGCCAAATTAATTAATTGAATCATATTAAGACTAACACCGGAAACAATTTACATGTTGCCCGTAACTTTAAATATGGATATTTTACAATTAAAATTGCAAATTTGGTGCTTTTTTCATTAAATTATCTATACTAAAATTATAAAGTTTGTATTTTTGAATTTCTTGTATTGTTGTATTTTTGAAAAAAGATAATTTATCTGTGAATAACATAGTCTATATTGTTAAATTACACGTGGACGAAGTCGCGGGCAACAGCTAGTCTATACTAATAAAATAAAGAGGAATGATTTGTATTTTTGTATGTATTAGAATAACTCACAAACTTCTTGGCGAATTTCAAAAATTCTTTCACCATTTAAAAGCTATGTTATCACTGAGTAACATAAGCTGCATTTTTACTACATTTTTTTTCAATTCGACGAGGACGGAATTGAGAAACAGTCTGTAAACAAATAACAAACGCGGGAAAGTGATGAATGAACAATAAATTCATAATTTAAATTGTGAGTTTGTAAGTTTAAGGGCCTGTCCCACCGGTGGTAGATAGAGGCCCTGATAGTGTAAATATGACGTCACGTCAGATAAAATACAAAATTTCTGTC